ATTGATCAGTATCTTACATTTTCAAAGAAATAGCGACTGTATCTGCCGCTTAAACCGAATATCGGGGTTAAAAATTCCATTGCGAAGCTATTTTCTTGTGATGTTAAAGTATGCAGCTAAGTGCCCTGCAAAGCCAGAACATTACACTCGACAAGCAGCACAAGACTGCACAGGGCTGGCCGCTGACTGGCTCACAAGCGCTGTGTGTGTGCTTTATCCGATAAGAGTCGTTCCACCAGTTTTTGAACAGTTATCTAACTACACTGTGAAGGAAGGAAGCCATGACAGTGGATTAACCTGGTGCAGCTGCCTCGGTCTGGTGCAAGACCGCAGACCCCTGAGACGTCGTTGGCCACCGCGGTGGCTAGGAGATGTTAACGACCTCGCCTGGTATACAGAAAGTCGTGGGTTCGATCCCGACTCCTGACGCCTGCCGTACATTTGGAGTTTGCGTGTTCTACCCGTGGTCGCGTGGCTTTTTCTCCGGTTTTTCCCTCTAAATTTAGAAATATGCGTTCAGAGTATTTGGCGGCTATACATTTGCACGTGATAAGCCACTTTGTTGAGCTATCATTTGTGGCCAGGTCGCCTCTGAAAAACAGCTATATATTTCAGTGGCCCTTACCTGGTAATATAAAAAATAGTTTCTAATTTTCATGGTTTCTAGTTTTATAGTTTGTACGCTGAATGGCAAATGGGTACAACACACCTTGGCCACAACTAGACAACTGGGTGCATGCCCAGGCCATCCCATGATAATCCAAAGTGCCTTATTTTTCAAAATTCATTGTATGTTGAACTTTTTTCGCACCATACGTAGCCAACCGTGCGAATCGGAGGTGTGGGGGAAGGACAACTAAAATTAATCTCATGACACAATTAGGGCTTTTATCCTCGTTGAGGGATAACGACAAAACACTGTTATCAAAGGTGCCAACTCCAAATGGCTACAATAGCCAAAACTGACAATAACATCTGCTATATGGTGTTAATGATGGGACTGGTTTTGTGCACCGTGGCCAGAACCCATTGATGTGGCTAATATCAGTGACGCCTTCCTCATACTAAATACGATTCAAGTGTCCAATGTCTGATGGATTTGGGCACATTCATGGTAATTTAGTCAAATATATATCTCATATCTGTCTGAGCTGCTTCAATCTGAATTTTTTGACCTGCAAGAGCTGTACTTCAAAGACCACAGCTTGACGGGGAATAGGTTTCATTCTCAATCCACGGTTTGTTCAACTGGGTACACTCATTGGTGGAATATAAGTGTCCACGCAGCAACATTGATTCAATTGAAATTGTGCTGCAGTGCATAGATTGTAAAAAGTGCACAAGAGTGCACAATTACAGTTAGACGGAGCAGTATTCAATCAGGACTTGATAACCTTAATGTTTTATTACTCTACAGCCTTTTGTCAATCCACTGTTGGATGAAGGCACCCCCCCCACCCCCACGGCGTGCGAGCACGGTAGTTTTATTATACTATACCATGGTCATGGGTGATGGGGTGCCTGGACCGGTTTCCGATATCACTCGCTACTGATATTAGCCACAACCAGAAATGTAACTCAATTATCCGAGTTCACAGGGCAGCCTGCTAACCTGCTACGGAATTTCTCTCAAGGTTACTCATACGGGCGTCACAAAAACCACTCGCCGCATCACATTGAACAGATTCCAAATTAGAACATTCCGAATGAAGGGCCAAATTAAACGAACAAGCCAGTCAATGGCCCATTTCCCCAGCTCGTTAAACGTAAGCAATTCACACCGTCATTGTTCAGACAAGATCTGGCAGCACCACTCAAACCAGCTGCAAGTGAATACAAACTTTACGGGAGGAAAAAGCTTACAGTTCAACACGACTGGAAGGCGTAAAAAATGCCAGGCCTCAGTTTGCTTCAGTGTTCTACCAGCTCCCAAACAAACTGGCAGCAGTCATTCGCCAAAACCAAAACAACAAAATAAAAAAAACACGCGCAAATGCGGTTTGCTGAACAGAAGCAGCTGTTGCCAGGGCAGCCTCCAATACAATATACGCTGCAGGACAACTTGCAGGACATTGTTAACTGCTAAGTGTTTGTCCATGACCAATATCCTGGTTAGGTTTATTAGTCCTCTAACAGTGACATATACTGCATGATTTCTCGGTTGAACTCTACAGCTCTCACATGTGCTTTCCAAGCGTGTTGTTCAGCACGATGTCCAAGTTTGGCATGACCACCAAGTGCTGCGAGCTTCGATGCAGCTCCTGAAGATGCATTTCAGCACTTGCAGCGAAACGTCGGACATCATGCCCAACATCACACCGTACAGAGCGAAAAACGCCACTGTAGAGCCACACAGTCTTCTGCCGACGCCAGGCTAGGGAGAGAATGTCGACAGCCCAAGTGGCGATCGCCAGCGAGCTGAGTGACGAGCAACGTGGGCCCACTCAGCCCACGCGACAGCTAGCCGCGGACAGACAAACGACCCGCTAGAGAAGATTAATAAGTTACATAGAACGGATTGGCCGAGTGCCAACGCATGCAGGGAGAGGGTTCTTTGTTAACGAGATATGCATCCCTTGCCCTGGTCCAGTCTCAAGGATATAAAGAGTTTGTTATGGTCTTGTCATTTCATGATCTGTTTTAAGCAGGATAATTATCCCCGTAAACCAATTACAAATCAATGTCTACAGCTTCTTCCGACAGCAAAAAAAAAACTCTCATCAAATTAACTTCATTTACCAACAGTATGGCATAAAGTCAAATGTATAAAAGTTTTGATTCCTGTTTTACTGAATCCTCCAATTTTCAACGCGTATACAGGAGTTGGGGAAGCAGTGGCAAAGTGATTAGCATGCACCGCAATGAACCTGCCAATCTCACCCATTCCCTGCCACGGCTGCTAGCGTGAGTGGTGATACCTGAACCAGTCCGAGCCGCTCCCCACCTCACCACACTGCACGAGCCAGCGTGGTGACGGATGAATAAAAAAAAGAAGAAAAAAACCCCGTCACTTACATGGCATAGGGGAGCGCTTCATCCCGTGGAATTTATAAAGGGATGAAAATAGTTATTAACTTTATTCAAGATTAACATATTCTCTGGTAATAATTCACCGTCCTGTTACACAGACGGCTCCATGCACGTTGTAAATGTCCTTTTTGGGTGTTATCGGTGACCAAAATTGCAGGTTAACTATTTCCGTATGCCTTAAAATGCATTTTTGCATTTGTTTCAAGAGCCTAATATTCAAGTCGTTTAATATTCCACAATATCAGATTGTCGTGTGAACTGTTTGAATGTTTGCGCAGTGAACATGGAGAGATTTTGAGCATTAGGTTCCAATGTTAAACTGAGAAAATCCAAGAGAAGCCTTTGCCCGAAATCAATGACCAATGCAGTACTTGAGACTACCATCATCACCTAAATTTGACCAGATGAGTACCCACTGTGCCCATCAGATCTCAGTTTTTCCCTGATATAATAATCAAGACGACCAGATGACATTTACGCTGATAAGCAAAATTATGTTGACACAGCTATGGAATTCTCTACCAATGCTTTACATATTTGTCCTACCCTTCCGGGAAGGATGAAAGTGCTCCTAAAAATAAACCGTTGCAATTGTCATGCTGCAATAGCTCTGCTATATGTGGAGACCAATTACATCACGACAATAATGTTTTAATTTTCCTGCTCCATCACATTCACCAAACACTTCCTATTTTTTAAATCAACCTCCCATTAGTCATCATGTGACACGACATCGCCCAATCTCCTTTGCTGCTTCCACTTCCCGAATTTCCATCCCCTTTCCATATTTGCAATGACGCGTTATTTTGTAACCCTGATCTTGCACAACACCAAATATTTATCTTTCATCACTCTACAGGGTCTGCAGACATAATATTGTATATTAACACAAATTGGCAATGCAAGTGTGTAAAGGACAATTCCAGAAACGTCGCCTATTATATACTGTTCCTTGTAAGGCAGTGAATATATTGAGGGTTTGTGTTGTTGTTAATTGTGCTTGTGCACTACCGCCAATGCAGCATCACCAAATTATTTGGTTAAAAGGATGTTTTTTTTTTTTTTCATGAGGACTTGACATCCGGTTACGGAGGAAGGGTTTTAAACGTATGAAGGGTGTCTGGGCCAAAAAGCGCGGTGCGTTGTTACCTCGCTTGGCAGGCAACGCCGTTTGCACCGCACGCAACACTGACAACACTGACAACACTGTCCCGGTGGGAAAAAGAAAACCGACGTTGTGTGTTTGAGTGTTGTGGTTCACGGCTTTTGCCAGGCGACAAGGGGACGGGGCACCTGGAAATCCCATTATTTTTAAGCGTTCATTTGTTCGAGAGGGCGAAGGGGGGTTGCATCATCGTCTGCACTTTACAAGGGCTCTGATGGAGCCGTGAGTTCAGAATCAGAATCTTTGCTCAGACCGGAGGAGGAATCCGATGAGCTATGGAAGCTCTTTTTCACGGATGTCCAGTATTGTTGGGTCATCAAGTTACAACGGCAACCAATGCAAGAGAAAGCGATCGAAGTGAAAAATGTAGAACATGGTAAGCAAGGCACTAAATATATATATAAAAAATATACATTTATTCGAAAAGTCCAATTTATCAAGCTTGACCAAGGCAGCAAAAAAAAAGAGTCCGAGACCACACTAATATAACACAAGTCATTCAATAAAATGGCACATTAACATTGAACTATCGACACACGGGTAAGTTACACTGTGAACCAGCCACACATCAATTTTAATGTGGGAAAGGTGGCAACGCTTTACTGCGGATCTGCTCGCAGCACTGATTAAACATTAATATGGCACGTGCAACGGGGATTTAGAAATGCACACAATATAAAAACCCAAGCAGCTGTCTCTGGCCAAGAAAAGAAATGTAACTGGAAAAAAACACAGAAAAAAAGCGTGCACTCGCACCAACGCACGCAGTAAACAACAACAACAACAAACAATAACGGTAACGTACCTCGTGAGATGCTGAGCCATGGGCTACAATATTCTTACACACTGCAAGCGAAACAAAATACACAGGAGTAATTAAAGCAGGTGCAGAAAAAAAATCATAATAAAAATAAACTGCCAACAACCTTCAGTTACACATAGCATGGTGTACACAATATAAACGCATAGATGCATAGATTGCGTTAAATGTGCAGCCCTGCAACTGCTTGCTCAAGCGTCTGCTGGCAGAAGCTCATCCACTAGAGGGCACTCTAGAGAAGCCCCTCTGGAGGGCATTTGGCCGACTCTTCCACGCTGGCCTGACTTCATGGAGGGACTGGGCGTATCCGCACTTTACCCACCACACGCAAACCGCCAATGGACTAACTGTGGCGTACTCAATTACACTGCTGGACGGACGGGTTTGGGGTATTTCAGAAACTCGGACCATTGTTTCAATTGCCTTGCCAGGAGATCGAACTGGCGAACTCGGTATTATAAGTGCAATGTACTTATCATTACAACACGGCAGCATCCAAAGATATACACACACACGAGTGCAATATGCGTGACAGGTGGCCGAAATATGTAGCGATTGCGGAACCAGAAAATTTGCACCAACCCATAGTTAAGTAGGTTTTAAATATCAGCAGAAATTCATGTCCTGGTCATTAGGCATAAAACCATTCATTGATCTACAGAAACCGATTAATTATCCTCTGACCACCTGCATGAAGCCTCACAGGCGAGAATGCATTATTTATCAAAGATGTTCATTTTATTTGAATATTACATTAACACTAATGATGCAAACAAAGTAGAGCAAAGTTGAATAAATATGAAACTAGCCTTTTTCCCGTCCAAGGACGGGTGTATTGCAGTAAATGTGAAACTTGCAAACGAAAAGCAGACCGCGACGTGATATATTCATTGCATCAATTCGTGTGCAGTTTGTAAGGGCGCGGTGACGCAGACTTATTTCATTTGAAGGTTATAATCCCTTGTTCATCATGACGTACTTTTTACTTCTATGTCTCCACAGTTTTACAGAGATTGCGTGACGTGAGGGTTCTGCCTTTGCAGTGAGGGTTGTAAGTTGACGCCGAGGAGGGGGGGGGGGAGGGGCCTCGGCCCCCCATGTGGAGTGACGTCAGCTGCTAATTATTATTAATGGGGGGGTGCCCATTTGGAGGACGTTACCTACTCATGATTATGAATGAGGAGGGCTGTTTGATTTGAGTGACGTCACTTGCTCTTGATTTTTAGTGAGGGGGGGGAGTACTCCATATTGAGTGATGTCACCCGCTCATGATTATTAATGAGGAGGGGTGGAGGGGTGTCCATTTGGAGGATGTCACCTGCTTATGAATATTAATGAGGGGGGCTGGTCGATGTGGAGTGACATCACGAGCGTTAAGGACAGACATTCCTGGGTGATTATAGTAGGTATACAAGTGAGATTCTTTCATTTCGACAACAGAAAAGCCATTTCTTCAACTGAATCTCAACCTCCAATTGTGACAATTCAACGAATCTCCGGGGGCTGGGACAATCATTACATGCCTCCCGTTCATGTAACAAAACAGCATTTGAAGTTCATAAGTTGTATTCTCTACATGTCTGTTACAACTTATCAAAATGTCTGAGGACTCACGTTTGAAAATAAGTTATATCACAGGGTTCTTCAACTATACTTTTTATCGGGCCAGATACTTGAATCATCTTGTGCTGGTGGCACACTTGCTATTACGTGTCACGATGTCACATGGAGTCATGGCGTCATGACGTCTGCCCATGTGACAACTAATCCCTACCTATTGCCTCCGCATCTTTTATATCACTCGCAGCAAATGTGTGAGGTGCTTGGAGGGGTATCTGTCGGGTCTGCTGGTCTGGCAGGACCGTGGAACAAGTAGGATCCACGTGTTGTGGTTGTCTCTCGGAAGGGGACTGTTGGCTCGAGTCAGGAGTCAAGGGACCCCTCAAGGGTTGGTGCGCTGGACACCCGTGCCGTCTTTCCCTGGACTGTCTGTGACGTCGGGCGGTTAAGAGTTTACTGTCGCCCTGCCTAGCTCTTGGTATGGTCTAGGTGTTTACCCCGTACCCTTTATCTCATTAACTTCCTCTGCGGTGTTCTCACTGGTTTTGTTTATGCGAATGAGGTTCACAATATTCAGAGTTGTGAGATTTAATTCTATCATTTACCGAATACAAAAAAAAAAAACCTGTTACGTCTTGCTCACATCTCACCGCACTATTCTGCATCCATTGACGTCTCTGCGGGCCACAGCTTGACGAGCCACTCCCATGAGCCCTCGTGGGCCCCGTCTGGCCCACAAGCCGCCAAATTTAAGAACCCTGCCCTATAGCAATCACGCAAAAGCGTCGACGTTCATTCTCCACACTGGGCGGTCATGTCGTAGACGAGAGTGCAGCCAGCAAAAGAGATGCCGAACACATTCTGGGTCCCGGTGCGCAAGGGCCTCACCGAACGGGAAGGTGACGTGGCGCTCCCGCATCAGCTCCAGCATTTCTTCCGGGTCCGACGTGTTGAGTCGCACAAAAGCTGGCGTGCTGATCGCTCGCTCTGACAACAGAAACAAAGATTCCCCCGTGTAGCCTTTAGCAGAATGGTCGGCGGGCAATTGCTGTGAGCGAGCTGCATTTTTGCAGAAGAGGGATGGTGGGGACCTAAACCATGCCTGGCCGTCTGTTTCCCCAGTGCTGAGATTACACATCGCATCAGGTACTCAGGTAAGGTTAAGTCGACCTTAGGTAGGCCCATATATTTATCACTCATATTGGCCATGAGAGGGAATAGAATGCAGGCCACGGGGTTCTTGTGATGATAAAGACACAAAAGCCTAAATAACCCTGGGCAGGCTGCGACTATAGTAGGAACCGAAATTCCGCAAAGCAGATCATATTATAAAGTGCAAGTCCTAGTCAGATTGTAAACGAATGCGCGTTGCACCGGGTGATAGGGATTACGCCTTTGCTCCCAATGCACCAGCCAATCAACTACCAGGAAGACAACCCCATGCAATATGGCCGCCATGAAGTTACTCATGCAACATGACCGCCATGATGTCATCACTCTGTGCACTACGAATAACCTGTGTGTGTATGGTGGTCACCCCTAACAAGCACTGTGCTGGCTCAACCCTGCTTACCTTCCGAGATCTGATAAAATTGGGCGCATACTGGGTGATTCAGTCATTGGTGAAACATAGCGATTATATCATATGTAATGTCCGGGCTTAACAAAAACACACACAAGGGGAATTTGTATTTTCAGTCAGGCATCTGGCTACCAGAATGTTTGACACGTGTGTTTGGACACTATAGGTAGAGAATGAAATGACATGCAAGAAGAGGCCTACGTGAAATTCTTTGCGCGATAACCAGGCAGTGACCCGTCCGTCGCCCTTCGGCAGATGAAAGCTTGACCCCCCCCCCCACCCCCTCCTACCACTGCCCCCCCCCCCACCTCCCCCACACCATTTCAACAGAGAGCTTACCCAGCCGGCATATTTCAAGCTCCTGAATGAGGTCGTAGGATCGGCATCTGTCAAGCAGCTTCCGCACGGCATGCAGTGGGTCGAGCAGCATCGTCTCCGGGTGGCTGTCCACGTAACTCTGAATGTGGTTTGGTTTAAAAGGCACAGAGCAACAACACACACGCGCACCCGGTGAGTAATCCATGCTGCATGATGGAAACCTTTATTTAACCAGCAGATGAAGTAAAACCACTGGGGCACGTGAAAAAATAATTTATTTTCAAGGGTGACCTGGGTTACGTTGAGAACTCAATGTGGCTGTTATTGTACGGAGTGAGAAATCCGAATCGTCACAATCACTCACTCGTTCAGCTGCTTCATTGTCGCTCTGCTATCGCTACTTCCACGTTGAATTTTAATGTCATGCCCTCATACCGCCACCCTTGTCAAAGACTCTATCTGCCTGATTGGCTATTTCTGCTCTCATTCTTAACGTGTGCAGCCCTTTACAAATTTGCTGTAACCTTATGAAACTCGAGGAATGTATTTGTTCATATCTGCTTGGCTATAGTTAGCGCTTTTTGTTACTGGCCGCTTTGCATGATACAAATTCAGGTCTGTGCATAGCAAGTGATTAAAGAAGACAAACAAGCTTTCGGTTGCCAGGATCCAATTACATCATAAACTTTGTAAATATGCAATGAAGACTTTTGCAAATTAAAATCTGCAAACAATATTCCTTTGCGTAACCAAGACAGCCTCACGAGTATCTCTTTCAGGAGGGTCCTGCACTGTGACCGTTGACTAATTCCATTCATGAGTGTTTACAGAGGATACCAGACAAAGCCCAAGCATGAGGGGGACAGATAGATTCTTGAATCCATGACTCTCCTGCCAGCCCCTGGCTACTTCACAGCCACCTTGCCAAGTATGAAAATGTAATATCAACAGTGAAAAATATAAATTTTGATTTAAAGCTTTCGTGACTGCAGTAATTCATATTCTCAGCTCTTTCGGTAAAGTCACGTTGAAGGGAAACAATAAAATAATAATATATAAAACAATAACAAATTCTCACGACGTTTCGACCATAACACAAACGGTCGTCATCAGGTGTGTCGGTTTGCATTAATTAATTTATTTATAAACGGTGTATTTATTTATTTAAAAAACGTCAGTGCCACGCGCAGCGATTTGGCAGTTTATTTAGAAGGACTAGTCCATCTATGTTCTGAAAAGAGGAGGGAGGAGACGAACATAGATGGACTAGTCCTTCTAAATAAACTGCCAAATCGCTGCGCATGGTGCTGACGTTTTTTAAATAAATAAATACACCGTTTAAAAAATAAATTAATTAATGTGAACCGGCACACCTGATGACGACCGTTTGTGTTATGGTCGAAACGGCGTGATAATTTTTTATTGTTTTATATATTTTATTATTTTATTGTTTCCCTTCAACGTGACTTTACCGAAAGAGCTAAGAATAAGTGAAAAATATACTTGGAAGGTTTCTATCGATATCTTAAACGTTGGTCCTAATGGAAACTGTACAATGAAGACAATGTTTGAGTCGTACACAATTTAATTCGTAACACTTTCATATGGAAAGTCATAAGCGATAAAGAGAACCACAACAATTTCGTTTTCATAGGATTCAAAGTTTATTTACAATTTTATCAATTGCCTTTGATTCACTTAATTTATTCTGCCAATGTTGAACTCTCACTGTGGGATGCAGCCAGAATGAAGTTTAATCACTGTGTTGAGAATGATATATTTTCCACAATCTGTGTTGCCTGCCATGGGACCATACAACTCTCAACACTTAGAAACCTTTACATAGAACCTTAACAATCTTGAGGCTCTGAGTCGAGGACCTCAGGAGATGAGACCACTGAACCGCCCAGCCGGTTGTGTTTTGTTTTTCAGCTTCCGCTTTGCAGCCAGAGGTGTGTGGGGTCGCGCTCTGACCTGGAACCTCTGCACGAGGTTGGTGGAGGTGGCGTTGCCTTGGTCGGCCTCCAGCAGCAGGTCAGTGAGCTTGTGTAGGATCACTTGGAATGGGCCCTGCTGCTCGAGGTCACGCTGCAGATCAATCTGCACAATGGAGCAATGCAGCATGGAGAAGGATTCACGCGACCGACGTTGGTCAAAGCAGCTCCCGGGACTCAAGGGGCCAGCTCAGCACCTCTCTTCTCTCCCAAAGGAAACAAAAACCCTCCTCCATCAGCCAAGTGCAACCAAATAGTATGTGAGAATCGTCTTATGACCATTTATCTGCTGGGGGCAAAGAGAAGCGTGCTAGGTATGTATGGTATCTACATATAAAATAAAACACAAGTTCAGAAGAATAAGTTAATATGTTTATTACCTGAGTATTCGTTTATTTTTTTCATGTTATACTTTTGTCTTTGTCCGATTTTGTTTTACTAATGTATTCCCACTGGCATCATTACCATGAGACAAAGTGCCCATTTGTAACTATTTCAACCCAGTATTGCTGGAGAATGGGCCGTGGAAGCAGATAATGCAGAACTTATTTCGAAAAACCATTTCAAACTGATCTTAGATATCGACACACAAGGTGGTGCACTATTCCACAAGCCCGGATACGATGAAGCATCTGTCGCATGGCAGTTAAACTGATATATACAACATTCAGGAGCTAGAATATAGACACATCTGGTGATAACTCAAATATACCGTATTACGTCAGTACTGCACCCCTTTCTATAACAGCACTTTGCATCTTAGCCGTGTGCTGTGGGCTTTCAGGTACAACCTGCACCTGCTCAAACCACCAAACTTTCTTGAGGCCATATGTAAGTACGCATGTTGAACTTCTTTCGAAACGTATGTAGCCAACCGTGCTAATCTGAGGTGCGGGGGAAGGACAACTAAACACGAAAAGCAGTTCTAAGAAAAAAAATCCGTTTTCAATCTAGATTTAAAAGTGCTTAGCTCAATGACTTCTCTATATCGGAAGGAAGAGCGTTCCGGATGACCACACAAGCGGATAGACATGTCTTGTGAAAAGTATGCATTTATTTATTTATTAACCATGCATGCACGTGCCCGATTGTGTTGTCATATAACTGCATTCCTGGGCAACTAATGTTTACGATTTCACATGATGATGTATAAATGTGGAGAGAATAACACTAGGACTTGGCAGGACAGTCCACACAGGTTGTTAGCCTTGCCAGGTAATACCTCATCAGGCTTTTATTCACTGTTCATCCCATTTAATCAATTGGCAAGAGCAGACTTAGGCATTCAGCATCACAAAGGATGGCTATGTGCCTGATTAAAGTTGGATTCTTTCCCCGCCTTCCACATAGACGAACAAGTTAGAACTGCAGCTCCAGTTAACAGTCCTAAACAACACGACAGGCAGTCATGTAAACCGTAAGATACATTTAACCCATGCCACCTACGTTAAATTATAATTAAATTCAACGGACTGGGTAGGGGTGATGTGCATCAATTAATGGATGAATTAATTTATCAATTCATTGATGAATATCGGTGCTTCAGCTTGCTATACAGGCCGATGACGTCAACATGCTCCGCCCATCACCCCCTGTCCAACAACACGTGGGAAAAGAGGTAAGACTTTTGTTTCCCAAACTATTTTCGTGGCATCCAAATCATGAAGTAAATCGAACCGATGATAGGTACAGTAATCAATCACTTGAATAACCGGATATGCCCAGCCCTACACCTAATATAAATCACTCAACACACTTTGCGCTTTAAATCGAAATGTACACTTTGCGCTATTGAAGCAATGTTTAGTTAACGTTTTGTGGGAAGATGAGAGCTTGATTTTCACGCACTGCGCAGATATTTTTTTTTGTTCTTCCCTGACAAAATATACTCGAGTCACCGCGATCCATCTTCAGCATCCTTAACGACGGCTTCCAAAAGCTCGGTTAACGCATTTTTTTTCTTCTTCTTCTTCTTTAAAAACATATAAAAATGTTCAACAACAAAAAGTCAGGCAACGGAACCTGCGCCAACTGGGTCCTGGAAAATCGACGATCCCGATCTCATTGATATTCGCGGTTGTGCGAAGCGGAGCCTTGTTTCAAAATGCGTTGGCAGACCTGCAACGAGCTTGGGCGAATAACGTAGAAAAATCACATTTGTAGAATCTCCATATTTAGTGGTCACGGGCCTTATGACTTCTGATAAAAACGCATTACCAAATTAAAACCAGCATGCCTTTATAAGGCATCGTTACTCCTGGAAGACCGCTATTATTACTCTACTCAGAAATATTAGTCCAAGTAGTCGAGTCATTATACGGGTGTAATAACAGAATGCTAAGCTCAGATAGCATGAATACATTATTATAGTAGACACACCGTCACGCTGGGTCATGACAAAGATGAATACAGATACAGGAAAAATAGAGGCTGAAGTCAAAGAATGCTCGACCCTGCTCAAAATGAATAACAGATGTAATGCATTTATCTGCTCCACAAATGCCCATTCTGGATACACAGTCACTGCGTTTGTTCGGTGCATAATACGCCTCTACGAGCACACACAATGTCTCCTTTTCCAATTACAGGCTCACAATTATAACTATGTTACAGCTCAAAATTTCCAGAGGGCAGAATTTCCTTTCAGGGTCAAAACATATAAGGGTCACAAAAGATGACCTTGCCTTGCATCTTGTTGTAAATTGCTGTGCTTCCGCGATAAAAAAACAAAAATACAAATCCCCGTGTCACGTGATCTGCCGGTAATATCTCGTGACACTCTTTAGCCAATGAGCATACCCCCCTCTTCGCATTGAAGTGCCCACAAGATGAATAGCGTCACCAAATTAATATTTTAACTTTGGAGGGAGATAAGTAAAAAATTAAATTAACGAGAGATAATACACAGCGGTGATGGTTGTGTGCAATGTGCAAAGGTCAACATGGAATTGTGTCAAATACTATCCCAACCACACAACCTCCAGGACATTGGTTAAGGGAACGGTTACGTGTGGAAGACTAGTGACGTTACCGCATCACCGAGCACGCAGGAGAAACATCCGTCCTCTCCAACATCCGTGCCCTCATTTTAATCATCTGACCAGGCAGCTGACATGCAAAGCTTAGGTGGTCTAATTGTAAACCAGATCTCTGTGCACTCACTACATAATAGACAGGACAGCCACGTATTCTTTGAGAAGGGAGTACTAAACACATGCATGTTAATCACAAACGGTGCAAATCAGCGAGGCCCCGACTGAAAAAACCTTGGGGAAAATCCAATAAACAATGTTTTGTACATTGGTAAAAACAAAAAACGATTTCCCAAGTCCGTATAGTTGCCCACATTTCCAATGTTATTCTAAACATTGTACCAGTGGGCGCAGTTTGGTACGTAAATAATATTTAAATATTCAGCGTATTATAGAGGTAAACAACAACAACAAACAAAAAACGTGAGGATCCAGTGCATGGCCATAAGAAAATCAAAATTGTAAAAAAAAGGCTCAAGTGTGATCCACGAGACTTGACATGTACGCTAAAGGTCGACTCTCTCGTACTTATTCCCAAACATTTGTCTCTATTTATATTAAGAACTTACGACAAAATATTATTGGATCTTTCGGTAATGTCACGTAGAAGAGGAACAATAAAAAAATATTTGTATTATTTTATTGCGTTATTGCGTTATTTTAGTGTTTCCCTTCTACGTGACTTTACCGAAAGAACCAAGAATATGAAATCCCTGCAATCACGAAAGCTTTAAATCAAAATTTAGCTTACAACAACTTTACGGCAGTGAATGATATGGATATAAACGTGCGACTTCTGCTTCAAACTGGAAGTCCAACATTGGTTGGTGCAACTGTGTTGAACATTGTCCTTGATGTTTCCCCATTCATCATCATCATCATCAGGGTGCTCGTGTCAGAGGTAGGCAAGTACAGTACTAATGGGGGACCCCTCAAGCGGTTTCACAAAATGTCACAATTCAAGTTGCCCTTTCATTCATGGAGTCTGTTTTTGTCCCATGTATCTGTGCATCGCTGTATGTTTTGACGGCTCACTGTACGAGAAATGCTCGTCAAAGCTAACGCTTTCCCGGTTCGCCGTGGCGAACGCTGCTCCTTCGCAAGGTTTCGCCTTCCCCGTTGCCTGAAGACACCCCCAAATGTGGCTAGGCGAAACATCACGAAGGGCAATGGAGCAGGGCTCACCGCAGCTACCCTGAAAGAGGAACCTTTAAGATAATTTATCATTTATATATTTAAACAAATGTTCCCCTTCATTCGCAGTTGAGTCTGCTCCATTAGCCTCAATATATCACGGACACTTTAAGTAACCCACTCTTACAAAGATCCCCCGTATAGCCTTAACAGACTGTTGGGGCAAGTGCTGTTAGCGAGCACCTATGAAGGCCGGAATGGCACACACTGGAATGTGTGTGGCCAGCACTACGCCCGGGCCGCCTTTGTCCCCCTTGTGGCGACCTTTACACATTGCAGCAGGTGCTCGTTTGGAGGCTGAGTCGACCTAGGGGAGGCCCAGGACCAGTTAAGATCATCGTCACTGGTGTTGGCCGTGAGCGGGAAATCGAACTCGGTTGGCCAGGTTCGTAGCGAAGCGTAGCGCTAACCCGTGCACTTCCTCTCCCCTTGAACGACCGCTCCCCACTCTTACACACACGCGATTTGTTGGCACGTGGAGCGTAATAACCTTTTCTAACTTCTGAATCGACGTACCGTTACTTGCCTAAAGGTCGCCGCCGTTTTGGAAAGAGGTGTGCCTCGGGGTACTAAATGCGAGTCCTTGTGCACTCTTCAAGAGTTTCTTGGGCAATTTACTGAGAAGCCTGGGAAGTCGCTAATATAATTAGCCAAGAATGTCTGTGTGTAACACGCGTGACGTCACCCAACGTCAACCAGCCCCCCTCATTAATAATCATGAACAGGTGGGGGTCCTCCACATGGACCTCCCCCCCCCCCCTCATTAATAATCATGAGCTGATGACGCCACTCATGTGGAACCCTGCCTTCACCCCCACATTAATAATCATGAGCGGTAATCAAAATAAAGTAAATACAAATTTAAATAGACTGCCAGTAC